AGACTGCTATACTGTTAAGAAGCCCAAACCACAAGGAGAGGCCACTTACAGATGTTCCAGTCCAAAATCCTAGTCCTGAGTCCTCCTAGGCTAGGTGCAGACATGTGGGTAAACCCTCCAGATCCTCCAGCCCTACTTGTCAAACCAATACTCAGCACCTATGTTTTCTCAGCTGACCCACAGACATTGTGCAGCAGAGACAAGTCATGCCTACTATCCCCTGCCAAATTCCTGACTCACGGAATCCATAAATGAAATGCAATTTTTTGAATCAACTAAATTATATGTAAGGCTTAGTAATTAGTATTACACAGCAATAGTAATTTGAATAGGCATTTGAAAAATAAGTGTACATTGGTTCTTAAATATGATTAGTCTCTAAGCATGTTGTATTTTTTTAATTCTGATCTACATAGTTAATAAAATTTATGGTCTTTGGATTCAAATTTTGATACATATACAAAATGTGTTTTTTTGCGGTGGGGGCGGGGCGGCAGGTAAGTACTAGGGGTTGAACTCAGGGCCTTATACTCGATAAGAAGGTACTCTACCATGCAAACCACTCAGCCAGCCCTCGCTTTTAGTAAATGCTTCTTGAATGATTAATCCCGACATATGTGGGAAGGAGTAAGACAAAGGTACGTAAAATAACATACAGATTTTAGCTTTAATAAGAGATTAGTATCTCTGCCATATAGAAATAAATTCAAACATGGTAAAGAGGAATGATGAGAATGAAACTAGATATATCTGTAGAGCATACGTTTTCCTCAAATAGTCCCAGCAGGCAACAGGATATGAACATTAAGCTCAAACAAAACCTTCATATTGAATTGGGGATATAGCTTAGTGGTAGACCACTTGCCTAGCATGCACAAGGCCCTGAGTTCAATCCCTAGCACTGTAAAAAAAAAAAAACAACTTTATATTATTGACAAAGTTGGAATCATTAACAAGTGAGAAAATAAAGTTTACCACAGAGAGAAGACAACTAAAGACTAAAGATATTAGGGACTCTAGGGACTATCTTTGTTTAAGAGTCATATGAAGGAAAATGAACTCATGAAAGAGACTCATTTATTCATTCATTCACCTATTTATTGAGTATGAGTGTTTACTTAGGGCTCAGGCAATGGAAATCCCATCTTTTACAAGACAAATATGGCTACATCTTCGGGGAGATTATCACCTATCGGGAGAAACAGACCAAGTGAAGTCAACAAAGAGAAAATGATAAAGACATGTCTAACCAGAACTTAAAAGAGGTCAGGGAAGTCTTCCCAAAAGCTGAGCTAAATAGAGAACAGAAGTAAACCAGACAAATGGAGGTGGCAAGAAAGTGAAAAAAAGGAGGCGTGAAGAAAGCAGTACCCCAAACAGAAAAGACTTGTGCAAAAGAAACCATAATGAAAGATAATATGGTATAATCAAGGAAAGAAGGCCAATGCAGCTAAAACACAGAGTGTGAAGTTAGGAGATAAGAATTTTGTCTTTACCAATGTAAATTTGAGGAATCATTCTAAGATTTTAGCAGGGATATGGCTAGATTGGATTTTCATTTCCAAAAGATCACAATGGCCAGTGTGGAGAATGGCTTGGAGAGACAAGACTAGAAGTATGTAAATCAACTAGGAATAATCTAGGCAAGAACTAGTAACTGTGACAAAGAGGACAGAGAAAAGTAACCAGCCTTGACAAACATAGGACACAGAACCATCAGGACTTGATGACTAATTAGATATAGGGGCAAAAAAAGAAGAATCAAAAAGGATGCCCAGGCTTCAGGGTTCCACAACAGAGGATGGTGGTACCATTCACTGCAATGAAGGACATGGGAGGTAGCAGTTTTGAAAGGGAACTAGGTAAAAGAACACAGCTCAGTTTGAGCAAAGTCTAGGGCCTGGAAGACATCTGTTATCAACTAAGAGATAGGTTTAGAATATCTGAACTGGGAATATGTACTTAGAAGTTACCCACATGTAGACAATAACTGAAACCATGGAGAATGGATGAGATCACACAGGAAGAATGAGAAAGTAAAAACAATCAAGAAAAAGTGATGTAGAAGAGGTGAGTTTCCAGAAGAAAGTCATCAACAAGGTTGAGCACCACAAAGTTTAGGGAAAAAAATTTTAACTGTCAAATGACAAGTCATAATACAGTAGTACCAGCAGAATCAAACTGTAATGACCTCAAAGATGAGAAATAGAAAAAAGGCCAGTCTATTCTGTTGTCTGTGAATGGAAGGAGAAAGGCAAAATATTAGAACCAAAAAGGAAATAATGAAGAGCGTTTAACTGATTAACAAGAGAAATCTGGCATTTTTACATAGAAGCAAGCTGAAATGGAGTTGATGAAAACTGATAAGGGTATTTCTAATAAAGGTTTCATTAGAACACAGACTGAAAGAATGCAGACTCACACCACTATGCAGCTTTGATAAGTTTTTTTCCCAAAGGATTATTATGCATTGCTAATGAGAATGTATGTTAGTATGATCACAACATTGATCACTTGCCACCATCTAACAAAATGTTAGAAGTTTTTATCATTTTACATAACAATTCTGTATCTAGTCTTTTATCTACAAGACTGTATTCACTGCAGCACTGTTTGAACCAGAGAAAGATGAGACAATTCAAAATCCATCAATAAGAGACTACTTAAGTTATGATATATCCATAAACTAAGTAGCTGGGGGGAGGGAGGAGAGAATACTATGTATAGCTATAAAAGTCTCCTAGATAATTAAGACTAAAGGTGAAGAAAAATATGAATGTTATTTCTGTCTGAAAAAGGGTGAAAACAGAATCCCATTTATACTTGTTTGAACATGCATAAAGAAAGAAGTGATAAGAACCTAAGAACAGTAGCTACCTACTGTGGACTGAGTTCAAAACAGACAGATGGCAAACAAAAGTGAGACCTGAGGACTGGGAGAATAGCTCAAGTGGTAAAGCGCCTGCCTAGCAAGAGTAAGGCCCTAAGTTCAAACCCCAGTACCGCAAAAAAAAAAAAAAAAAAAAAATTGAGACCTGACACTCTGACATTTTCTGGCTTGTAAGCAATGACAATGACAATATACAATCTGAGGCAGAGGTTGTTGCCAGCACTCAGGAAGCTGAAGCAGGAGGATTTCTAATTTCAGGATAGTAAGGGCCATATAGCAAGACCCTGTGTCAGATAAACCAACCAAAAAGGCATGGCTCAAGTGGTAAAGTACTGCCTAGTTAACTGCAAGGTCTTGAGTTCAAATCCCAGAACCACAGAGAAAGAAAGAGAGAATATATAACCTACTCAAAAAACGAAGCTATAGGGCCAGCGGAGTGGCTCAAGTGGTAGAGCCCTACCTAGTAAGCATGAGACCCTGAGTTCAAGCCCCAGTACCGCCAAAAAAATAAGCTACTAAAAAAACTTTGAATTTTTTCTTCCTCTGAGATAGTTTAAAAAAAAGAATATAATGAGTCATTAGACTCATTATTACATTTCTAGGCACAGATATGAAACTTAAGAGTTCTAAGCAGCTTTAAAAGTTTAAGCTTCTACTTCTATTTTCTCCATGATGTAGCTGAGAGAATAAGGAGAAATGTGCAAGTGGCCACGGAATTGGGAGCTAGAAGAAAATGAAGTTTGAAATAGCAGACGTGGAGAAGGGAGCTTTAAAAATACAATATACAGAAGACATGGGTAAGATTCTATATACGAAAAGTAAAAAGACATGGTGTCCCTGTGAGTAGCCAACATACAATCTTAGACCTGTGTCATCACATGGGAAGAGGAAGTTTAAAGGCCCCCTTTCAATACACCTTACTTGTACTGACAGAATGAAGGAAGGCGAAACCCCATCCCCGATACTCTTTAGTGTATTTCCTAGGCTTTAGCATAACATCTGGCACAAGGTTGATGCTCAAAACTCTAGTCAATAAATTGACTCTAATCTTGCAGAAAATTTTAAGAGCGGCCCTTTGCTTCCGACAAAGTCAAAACCACAGGGTCTATCTTGGGGTTCTGGACGCTATCTCAACGCGGGAAGGTGACAGGACGTAACAGAACGGGACCATGGCGAGCGAGTCAGCCCGACCCGGAGCATGAACGCTGCACTCCCTGACCCCGCACTTCTTGCAAACCCAGCGTCATTCGGGCCAAGGGGGTCGCGCGACGCGACTACCGCCGACTCCGCGCCGCAGCCAGGGGGCAGAGGGCGCGAACCCCCAACCCATCCGGTTCCCACTCGTCCCTGCTCAAAGTTGGTTCGCTACCAAGTGTGCCATGAGGGGTCACCTACCCTCGTCCGCGTCATACATCTTGACAAAAGGTTTTGGAGTTTCTAACTATTGAAATCACAGTGAAAGAGAAGAGCACAGCAGCATCCAGGACCCTGAACGAAAGACCGAGCAATTTCCGTCTCCGGCGGTCCCAGAATCCCCCGCGTCTCACATCAAAGGTCAAAAAAAAAAAAAGGCGATCTGCGCCTGCGCGATCAGGGTAGGGCGCCGCGGGATTAGAGTTGTGCACGCGGCAAATACGGATTGCCGCCTTCAGCTGAGACCGTTTTTAGACCAAGGGTTGGGTCCAGCAAGTGGAAGTTTTTTGGTCTGCTTTTCAGTGTTAGTTGCACAATAGTGACACCTGCAAAATATCCAGGTAGATTTATTAATGGAAGTTTTTGTTGTGGTCGTCGTGAGCCAGCGGCACTCCATGCCTTGTTTTTTGCTCATCTAAAGATCAAAAACTTTTTGTGTTTTACTAAGGGTGACTTGCGGCTCGTTGAAAAAAACCTGAAAGTCAAAAAACCCAAAGCACTGTCTACCCTTTCCTGCCCACATAGTTCTAGGTGCTGTTGGCAAGGCGACCAGTAGGTTCTCGGGCATCGCGAGAAGTCCGGGATGACGCAAGACAGTGCCCAAGTGCACTCAGGCTTCAATCTAAGAATTAACGCGCGCCTCGAGCCTCAGTACGCGTGCGCACGCGTGACTCCGCCTCCTCCTCTCGGGCTGTCTTCCCCATGCTCCCCGCACGCCTCACTCGCAGGCTGCTGTGCTGCGTCCTACGGGGGCCTGCATCCACCGTAGCGCGCCATGGAGTGGAGCTGCTCCTGGAGCGGCGGTGCACGGCCGCCGCCTCTTTCCAGCGCCGCGGACTTCCTCACAACCCCACGGCCACCGGGGACTGCGAAGGAGGCATGGACACGGAGGAAAGTTTTGTGTTCCCCGAGTACGTCCCGGAGCCAGAGCCCGCGCCCAGCCCGGAGGAGCAGCTGCAGGAGCTGCAGCAGCGGCAGCAGGAGGAGGAGCGACTGAGGCAGCAGCGGCGGGAGGAGAGGCTTCAGCAGAAGGTCCGGGCCGGCCGCCTGGCAGCCCCGGTGACGGAGCGCCCGGATCCGCCAGTGCCGCCCAGCGGCCTGTTCTGCTCGGGCTGCGGGGCCGAGCTGCACTGCCAGGACCCGCGCGTGCCCGGCTACCTGCCCAACGAGAAGCTGCGGCGCGCGACGCAGGGAGATGGCGGGCCTGCGCGGCCCGTGTGCCGGCGCTGCTGGCTGCTGGTGCACCATCGACGCGCCCTGCGCCTGCAAGTGAGCCGCGAGCAGTACCTGCAGCTGGTGAGCACCGCGCTGCGGCGGCCAGGGCCCGCACTGGTTCTCTATATGATGGACCTGCTCGACTTGCCGGACACCCTGCTGCCCGACGTGCCCGCGCTGGTGGGCCCCAAGCAGCTCATCGTGCTGGGGAACAAAGTGGACCTGCTGCCCCAGGACGCGCCCGGCTACTTGCAGCGGCTCCGGGAACGACTCTGGAACGACTGTGTCCGTGCCGGGCTCCTGCTGGCTCCTGGCCACCAAGGGCCACAGCTTCCTGAAGGGGACAAGCCACTGGACGGAGAGGAGAATTCGAATCCGTCGGCCAGGTCGCGCACTGTGGTCAGGGACGTGCGGCTGATCAGCGCCAAGACGGGCTATGGAGTTGAAGAATTGATCTCTGCACTTCAGCGCTCCTGGCGCTACCGCGGCGACGTCTTTCTGGTCGGCGCCACGAACGCCGGCAAGTCCACTCTCTTTAACACACTTCTGGAGTCTGATTACTGCACCGTCAAGGGCACCGAGGCCATTGACAGGGCCACCATCTCCCCTTGGCCAGGTGAGGCTCAGGAGGCTCGCTTGCTGAGAAATGGACTTGACCCAGGCACCTACTACATCTTTCTTTAAATGTCTGCCATGGGCTGCCTGAAAGCTTCAGTTTAAGAGTTCTCTCCTGCCTGGTAGAGCGCGTGCCTAGCAAGCTTAAATTAAAGGTCCCGAGTTCAAACTCCACTACCTACAAAAAGAAGAAAGTTTTTTTTTAAAGTTCTCTCCCTACTTTGGTCACAAAGTCTTGTTTTCTTAGCGTTTGGAAATTCAGTAGATGTAGTCGTTTTCTAATAGAAATGTTTATGGACACGGGAGATAACACCAGGGAACCCCGCAGAGTCCCTACTCTCTTGGAGTTCTCCCTTTTAGTTTACTTCTTTATGTTTGTCTGGAAGCTGTGTTTTTCACTCTCCGCCTCCCTCCATCCTTCAGTCGCAGTCTTCACATCTTGAATTTATGCTTGAGACATTATACATGTATATACATTTGAGTAATTCAATAATGCATTGTGGCATGTGGCTTTGTTGAGAGGAAATGTCGTTTTTGTGATTTAAGGATATTTCTGTCCCAGACTCTGACACCTGTTTTGTAATCCCAGCACTTGGGAGAATAGCATTCCAGGACAGCCTGAGCTACATGGCTAGACCCTGTTTCAAAAATAAAAAAAACAAGCTGGGGGGATGATGACTCACGCCTGTAATCCTAGCTACTCAGGAGGCAGAGATCAGAAGGATCGCAGTTCAGAGCCAGCCTAGGCAAATAGTTTGAGAGAACTATCTCGAAAAAACCCATCACAAAAAGTAGGGCTGGTGGAGTGCCTCAAGGTGAAGGCCCTGAGTTCAAACCCCAGTACTGCAAAAATAAATAAGTACATAAAATAAAATGAAAAATAAGCACGGTGTGGTAGCCTATGATCCCAGCACTCTGGAAGGTGAGGCTGGAGGATCTGGAGTTTGCAGCCAGCAAACTGGGCTATCTAGCAAGACCCTGTCTCCAAAACAGGCTGGAGTTCTGGCTCCAGTGTGAGGCCTTGAGTTCAAACTCCAGTCCTGCCAAAAAAAGAAAAAGAAATTTCTGGAATTATAAGGTCCTTCTATGACTATGTATTTAAGTTGACAAAACTCCCACTTGTTCCCTTGAAAGCAATTTAACTTTGGTTAGCTTTTCTTTGTCTTGCACTTTGGTTGAATTATACCCAGAATTGTCTGTAACCATACCATCCTGATCTTGTCTGAATTATACATGAAATTGGTTTTGTACTGAATGATTAATGTGAAAATGAAAAACCAAGCTTACATATTTTGCATTCAAATCCTGGGTTAGCCTGTGAACCAATCTCTGAGCCTATTTCCTCATTTGTAAACTGATAATAATCTTACAGAGGATTATAGTGAAGATTATGAGGTAATCACAGAAGCCAACACCCTGGATCCTTAGAAATGTTTGTCATCCCCCCACCCCTATTCCCTGTTCTAAACCATTTTCTTTGGTATTTCAGGTACTACATTAAACCTTCTGAAGTTTCCTATTTGCAACCCAACCCCTTACAGAATGTTTGAAAGACAAAAAAGACTTAAAAAAGATGCAACTAAAGCTGAAGAAGATCTTAGTGAGCAAGAACAAAATCAAGTTCATCACTTGAAAAAGCATGGTTATGTAGTAGGTAAGCCTCCTTTTGGGAAAATCTTACTGGTTCTATGCTAAAAATTAATTATTAAAACCTGCAATACAGCTGTCTGAAACTAGCTGGTTTTTTGTTGTTTTTTTTTTGGGGGGGTGCGGTTCTGCAAAGGGGACAGTACTGGGGTTTAAACTCAGGATCTATGCACTTATGCAAGTGCTCTGCGACTTATGCTAGAGCTAACCACTTTCTGTGGGGAAAGATTTTTTCCTTATAAAGGCCCTGTAGAGGCAAGGTTGTTACTGTTTGGAAACCCAGACTAGCGGACAGCAGCTTTAAATTAAGTTGGTATCTCTTTTCAAACTTCCTTTACTAAAAACTGATTTCTAACATCTGCCTCAATGTACCCAACCAGCCACACCCTTGATGGTTATGAGAGTCTGACTCCCAGCCAGGCCCCATGACTCAAACCTATAATCCTAGCTATTCAGGAGGCAAGGATCAGGGGGATTGAGGTTTGAAGCCAGCCCAGGCAAATAGTTCATAAGACTCTTATCTTGAAAATACCCATCACAAAACAATGCTGGTGAATTGCGCAAATGGTAGAACAGGGTTGCGTTTAAACCCTAGTACTGCCCCAAAACAAAAAGAGTCTCCCACTATCTTTAAAAAAAGCCCAGATATCATTGTAGTCTTACTGTCTACTGTAATTAGTCTTGGTGACTTGGGGCAAACAAAAATTATCTGTCCCTCTGGGCATGGTAATGCACCACTGTAATCCTAACACTCAGGAGGCTAGGATTATCTAGATTCAAAAGCATTAGAGGAGTGATTAATAACTTCAATATAATTTATTCTAGGAAGAGTTGGAAGAACATTCTTTTATTCAAAAGAACAGAAGAATGAAGCTACCTTTGACTTTGATGCTGATTCACTTGCCTTTGACATGGGAAATGAACCTGTTGTCGTGCACAAATCCACCAAGCGAGTAGAACTGACGCCACAAGATGTGAGAGATGCCCACTGGTTTTATGACACTCCTGGAATTATGAAAGAAAATTGTGTATGTATTTGGTTTCTTTTAGAAACATTTACTTTCAGTTGTAGAAGTACTGTCTTGATTGGCAGAAAATAAGAAAAGAGGCAGGCTTCTATTTTAGATTCAGTTCTGATTCATTCATAAAACAAGTCCAGGGATGAAGCTTTGTACCAGTAAGTTCTGTATTCATCTGAGAGACTTCACTGCAGGCAAACTACTTGTATTAGCAGTATAGTTGTTACCCTAGGAGTCCTTGATTTTAAGGTTGGAAGAAATCATAAATATCACTGCAATCCAGCTTCCAAATCTATGCTTGAATTCTCACCAACACATATCCATCATAAGGTCATCCAGTTTGAAGTAAAGTGACTAAGACCATGAGCAGTTTTCTGGGACCTGGAGGTGTCCCATTTGGTCTTTGCTTGCTCTTTGTATTGCACTCATCAAATTTTAACTTGTACCCATTGTCCTCAAAGCTGTATAGAGTGAATATAATATCTACTTCTCTTTTGCCAGACCTTGAAATATTTTAAAGTGTATCAGGCAAGCATAATTGAAAATAGGATTAGTTCTGTCTTGCCCTTAGGTACCTCTTTAATACAATTGCAGGATTTCCTAGGTAACTGATTTTGTCTCATTAAATTCAGTCTATATCCTGTTCTATTATGTAATCATTAATCTCTCAGCTACTTATTATTTGCATTTTTGACATTTATCTAAGTCATTGATTGACTCCAGTGTGTATCCAGGACACAGCCTCACAACAGTTCCATTAATCCCTTCCTTTGAATCTATCTACTGACCAGTTTCTAATTTTCCTGATTATCTCTGTGACTTTCTGTGAAAAAGCACTGGTTTCTTACATACTTTTTGTTCATCAGGTTCACTTACAGTTTCATTCTCAGAAGCATATTCTATTTGTCTCTCACATCATCGAATCATAGAGACCTTTATTACTCTCCTAGAATAATTACTCCCTTTTCTTCACTAGCAATCCATAGATACAGAGTAATGAGACTGCTTCCTAACCATGTTCTGTCACTAACTTCAATTAAATCTTCCCCTTCAGATTCATTTTTCAGAGATAGCACTTACTTTGGTCATATGCCCTCTTGTGAAACTAGTTAAGTCAGAAAGGCAAGAATTTACAAAATTTTCTACACAGCAGAATGAGACTTTCAACTTTTTGGATATGAAAAGTCTCTCATGGGCTGGGGGTGTGGCTTAGTGGTAGAATGCTTACCTAGTGTGTACAATGCCCTCGGTTTAATCTCCATCCCTGGAATTAAAAATTCTCTCAGCACTGATAGTGTGTTTCTGTGTCACTTTGCAGACGTAGTTACTTGATGTCTAAAACCAGTGTTTCCAAACTGAATCAATGAACTCTTGTGAAATGGAAATATTAGGCACTCAGCTTTAAGAGAGGGGATAGAATAATGGTGGCACATTCCTGTAATCCCAGCATTTGGGAATCTGGGGCAAGAGGGTCACAAATTGGAAGCTAACCTAGGTTACATACCCAGACTCTGTCTCAAAAACAAAAAGTTACAAAGTTTCTTTACTGTAAATAGCATTAATGTGTGTCTTTTCAATCACAATGAGAAAGGCTATTTGCAGCCTCTAATTTATAGGTTGAGTATCCCTTACCTGAATTGCCTGGGACCAGAAGTGTTTCAATTTTGGAATATTTGCAAAGACTTCAGTAGTCAAGCATCTCTAATATGAAAATCCAAAGGTTTTTAAGCGCTTTATAGTTTGGTTTTCACTTTAAGATGCTATATTATCTTGTGAGTCTCTCTGTCATAGGTTGGTTTTTTGGTGTGGTTTTTTTGTTTTTCAGTTCTAGAAATTGAACCCAGGGCCTCAAACTTGCAGGCAAGCTGTCAACTACTGGGGCCACACCTCCAGGCCCCCCCCTCCTTTTTTTTTTCAGCACTGCGGTTTGAACTCAAGGCCTCACACTTGCTAAGGCAGATGCTCTTACTGTTTGAGCTACTGCACCAGCCTGTTTTTTTAATTTCCTGTCAATCTTCCTAAGAACCAAGTTTATAGCCAGGCATGGTGAAACATTCCACCCAGCACTGAGGAGGCTACAACAGGAGGATTGTGAGTTCTGGGCCATCCTGGACTACATTATCTAGACCCTGTCTCATAAAAAAATCAAATTCACGAGTATTTTCATCCTTTTTTTTTTTTGACACCTTATTTATATAATGGTATTATGGCACAGCAGTTTTAATGTATCCACCAGTGTTCACTAAATACTGTAATAATTTGTGCCTGGGCTGGCAGCATCTTGCACTAAAGTACAAATATTAGAAGCAGAGTAGTATAAGCAGTTGCCCATACAGAGGCAGATAGACTAGGCTGTTTTCTTCTTCAGCCATCTTTGCTGCGCAGTGCGGCATTATGTCATTGTGTTGCTGCCAACCTGTGGAACGTCCTTCCAGATGTGAGCTATGGCACCTGTGCAACAGCTGACATATAAACCTGAGTACTTTCGAGTGCCTGTTTTCTTCCATTTCTGTTTGAGACGGGGTCTTGCTTATGCTGCCCAGGCTGACTTGGATCTTGTGATCCCTGTGCCTCAGCCTTCCAAGTACTGGGATTGCAGGCATGCCCCACTGCATATGAGTGAATTTTTTTTTTCTTTTAACCTACCTCTCTTTTTTTGGTTGAGTAAGTAGTCTACCACTGAACTACAACCCTAACCGCCCCCCGCTTTTTTTTTTTTTTTTTTTTTTTGCAGTGCTTAGGATCAAACTAAGGACCTTATACATGCTAGGCAAACACTACCAGTAAGCTACATCCCCAGCTCTTCTCTTTTTTTTTTTTTTCTTTAATAACTATAGCCTTTATTATGTTACTCCCGGTTAATACTGAACCTACAGCTATCTGGACAGCAATGGGAGATGCAGAAGAGACACAGGATACAGAAAGTGGGATCAGGCGTGTTAGGCATCCAGGTGGAGATGCACAACCCTCATTGCTGCTTTTTTGTAGTATTCTCTTCATTTACTCTGCTTCTTTTCTCTATCTTTATTCTTTGAGGCCTTACTCCTTTACAGTTCTTTAAAACCTTGCTTCACTATTCTTTAAAACCTGTTTTCTTAGACTCTCTCTGTCCCATGTTTTCTCTTAGCTTTTCTTTAGCAGAATTTCTTAAAGTCTTTGCCCCCAGACTTGCACTGTCCCATGTTCTCTCTTTAGCTTTCTTAAAGTCTCGGTCCTCAGACTTGCTAGCAATTCTCCTTCAGCAATTCTTTTCCCTTCCAAAGCCTCCCACATCAAAAAGCCAAAAAGCAAAAGTGAAAGCCACAAGCAAAAAGCCCGGAGTCCTCCTTCAGTGAGTCTTTTATATCCAGTGGTAAATAGGGTGGAGCAGCTGTTCCTGGGGAGAGGCGTGACATTGCAATACTAGAAACCTGCATTCCTGCTTCTCTGTACAAAAACAACTTAGGAGAAGCAGCTGTCCTGCATCTTCCTCTTCTGTGGTCTGGGCTGTGCCAATCTAGGCCTACAGAAACATCTTAGGAAAAGCAGCTGAGCTGCATCTCGCCTTGCTTATGTCCAGTTCTCATAGGCTTCTCATAATCAGCTCCCCACAATAGCTAACGGTACCATAGGACACCAGGCGCTTTTTATTGTTTTTTCAGATTTTTTTCCTTTAAATTTTACCAGAATCTTGCTTCCTGTTTCCTTTTCTGCTTTCTCCAGACTCTTTAAAACCTCTTCATCCTTATAAGCCAGAGTATTCACAACTTTCTCTCATTGTTTTGCTGACTATTCAGAGAAAATAAGGATATTGGAGTCCAGAATTTAGAAGAAGTTTCTTCAGGTTCTTGACCTATCCCATAGCAAAATGACCACCAGGACATGAGGTCTCATGTTCTAGTACTTTAAGCTGGAAACCATTGCTCCCCAGAAGCCTGATATTTTCACTCTTGGTATTGAGCCAGCAGTATTTTCAGGTTTATACCAGTTTTGGCATTTGGGGGATACTGCCAACAAAGGAAATCTCATACACCTATAAAGTTATTTTGCCACTACTCAACGCTCAGCTGTGACAAGTGTAGAACCACCAATAAATATACACAGAACATATAAATTTGGCATAATTTGGTTTTTTGTGAACCTGGAATGTGCCAGGTAAGTCACAAAGTATTTCAATAAAAGCAGTTCTCTAATCAAACATTTGTCATTTGCTTCACAGATTTTAAGTCTTCTAACAGAGAAAGAAGTAGATATTGTTTTGCCAAGACATTCCATTGTTCCAAGAACTTTTGTGCTTAAACCAGGAATGGTTCTATTTTTGGGTGCTATAGGCCGCTTAGATTTCCTGCAGGTAAGTAAAGTCTGTCCCAGGAAAGAGTGAGGGTAAAGGAGAATGGTGGAGGGGGTGAATTCAAATATGATAAATTTGATACATTGTAAGAACTTTTGTAAATGCCAGTGTACCCCCACCCAGCACAATCAGGAAAAAAAAAGTCTGTACCATTTAAAAATGACTAATGCCAGGCACCAGTGGCTTACACCTGTAATCCTAGCTACTTGGATGAGGATTAATAAAAAAGGACTGGCAGAGTTGCTCAAGTGGTAGAGCACCTGCCTAGCAAACATGAGTCTCTGATAGGGTTCAAACCCTAGTACTGCCAAAAAAAAAAAAAAAAAAAAAGACTAAGTATTAGGAAGCACTTTAAGGAAGGAGATGCATCAACAAAACTGGCAAAATATTAGCGGGGTGCAGTGATTCATGTCTGTAATCCCAGGGAGAATTTCAGTTCCAGGCCAGCTGGGGTAACCCAAGGCCAGCCCCTTGGCAAAAAATACAAGGCCCTATCTAAAAAACACCTAAGCAAAAAGGGTTGAAGGTGTGGCTCAAATAGTAGAGTGTCTGCCTAGCACTCACAAGACCCTGAATTCAAACCCCAGTACCAAAAAGCAAAACAAAACAAAAATACTGGCAAAATGTTTATATAACTAAGTCATGATTTTGTGTGAAGCTTCTTATTTCTGTTGTATGTTTGGAAATTTTCCTAATAAAAAATTGGGGAAAAAGTTAGTCCTCCCCATCCCCCAAAAAATGCTCAGTCTTACAAACCATACCACATGTCATCAATGTGATAGTGACTATCCTGTGCTGTCTCTTTCAAAAGGTCAAACCTGTAGATCAGGGTTAATATGCACTAAATGAATTCTACACATTGTGTCCCATGATATGTAACATATATATTTTGGGGGGTTGGGGGTGGTACTGGGGTTTCAACGCAGGGCCTTCACCTTGAGCCACTCTGCCAGCACTTTTTTGTGAAGGGTTTTTTCAAAATAGGGTGTCTCGAACTATTTGTCCAGGCTGGCTTTGAGCCACCATCCTCCTGATCTCTTGCCTCCTGAGTGGCTAGGATTACAAGCATGAGCCACTGATGCCCAGCCTTATATATTCTTCTTGGTTCTTGTTTTTCTTTTATTTTGTGGGACTGGGGATTGAACTCAGGGCTTCACACTTGCAAGTAGGCATTCTACTGCTTGAGCCACACCTCCAGTCCATTTTGCTATGGTTATTTTAGAGATGTCTTGGGAACTGTTCACCAAAGCTGGCCTCTAACTGAGATCCTTCTGATTTCAGCATCCCAAGTAGCTAGGATTACAGGTGTGAACCTCTGGTGCCCAACTTGGTGTTCATTTACATAACACCATTCTGGGGATTTTATAGTAACTACAGAATTGCTCTACATTTTGCCAATGTGAGGAGACAAAAGGAAAATGAAACATGGATATATCCAGCAACATGAAACTTAGTTATTGCTATACCACATTTCTTCAGTTTTGTGTTCATTCTTTGTTGGAAATTTAGCCTCATACATCTAGAACTCTTATATATTTCAGTAAAGCCTACAGGTTCATTTTTTTCTCTCTTTTGAGACAGGGTCTTCCTGTGTAACCCAAGCTAGCCTTGAATTCATGATCCTCCTGTCTCTGCCTCTGAAGTGCTAGGATTACAGACATATACCACCACACCCAGCAGATTGTTAATATCTTAACGATCCAATTTTATACATGGCCTGTTAAACAGTATTTCCTTTTTGTTTTTAATAATAGATGTGCTTTTTGTTGTTTTAGTTTTTGAGACAAGGTCTCACTGTGTAGCCCAGGCTGGTATCAGATTCACCGTCCTTCTGCCTTAGCCTCCTGAGTGCTGGATTATAGGTGTGTACCACCATGCCCATCAGGTTTTGTTCTGTTTTAATAGTATCAACTGGTCTGTGGAAGTCAGGGTTTTACAGTTTATATAAATCGTTAAAATGAACAGCCTCTGTATTGTTCCCTGTTGTTTTAGACTTTAACTTGATTACAGCTGCTATAAAAGGAGCTTGATTTGTCCTCTTGTTTTTTGTTGTACCTTATAATGTGTAGATTTTCCAAGTTTTCTCTGTGTAAAATAGTTTCTTCCTTTCCTAAGGGAAATCAGTCAGCTTGGTTTACAGTTGTGGCTGCCAACTTCCTCCCTGTGCACATTACTTCCTTGGACAAGGCAGATGCTGTGTATCAGAAGCATGCAGGTCATGCATTACTCCAGGTACGGCAACAGGATTTGATAACTGTGTGGTTATGATGGCTGTGCCCTGTGATAGTCCCATAGCCTTGCTAAGACAGCCTGCGCCAGATAAAACCATCAGCAGTATACCAGCTAGCTCTCCCCTTATCTCATTCTCTTTGAGGATTCTGGCTATCAAACAAAATGGGCTCTATTATGAAAAGGAATGCTGTCTTGGATTGATCCTAGGAAAACCAGAGTTGTGTTTTCCTTATACTGCAGTCCGGTATGGTAGCCACTAGCCATATATGGCTACCTAAATTTAAGAATACTGGCTAAAATTAAATGAAATTTAAAATATGGTTCCTTAGTCACACTAGCCACCTTTCAAGTGCCTAAAAGTTGTGTTGGACAGTGCTGAATGAAGCAAAGTTATCAACTTGTCACAGCTGGGAGTGATACTGGTATATCTACTGGGCGGGGACCACAAGTGATAAAAACATTTTTACAACAGAGAATGACATTGGCTAAAATGTTAGTAGGGTTGAGAAGCCTTTGAGTGGAAAAGCTTTTCTAAATCTTTTATAGATTGTCCCTCTTACCTGTTTTTTCCTAGCTCCTTCCTTCAGACTATATGTTAAAATTCTCATCTTTAAAAAAAAAAAAAAAGGAAAGAAACAAAAACTCAGTGCCCTGATTATTCCTTTAGTTTACAGCCCTGCTTGCTTGTGGCTCCTCATATCCCATTCCTGCAGTCCTTGTTGGCCCTTACCATGCCAGTGAACCTGTACTTAGGAAATTCACCAAAGCCCAGTTGCCTGAGACTGTCTTCAGCTCTCGAGTAGCTAGGATTACAGGTGTGAGCCACTGGTGCCCAACTTGGTGTTCATTTACATAACACCATTCTGGGGATTTTATAGTAACTACAGAATTGCTCTACATTTTGCCGATGTGAGGAGACAAAAGGAAAATGAAACATGGATATATCCAGCAACGTGAAATTTATAGTTATTGCTATACCACATTTCTTCAGTTTTGTGTTCATTCTTTGTTGGAAATTTACCCTCATACATCTAGAACCCTTATATATTTCAGTAAAGCCTACAGGTTCATTTTTTTCTCTTTTAAGATAGGATCTTACTGTGTAACAGGACACACATACTATTGGACAATATGTATTGTATATTGATTACAACTAAGGAAGCCAGACTGGGTTTAAATGTCTACCCCACTCCACTTACCACCACTGTGACTTTAGATAAATTTCCCCTACCTCTCTGTGTTATACCTACCTGCAGAGGTGAGAGGGAGGATTAGAGCTAGGGCAGCATTGTGACTGCAGCATATAAGTAGTTGATGGTAATGATGATAAAACATAACTTGTTGCAGAAATACCAGATGCATCCAATGAAGCAGTGATTAGTATCGGTGCTCTGATTAGTATCAGTGCTCAAACAACTGAAACTTCGTCCAAAAACAAAGCAGAAAGTTAAGTTGAAAGACTGACAGAAGCCAAGAAGAGCAAACACGGTTCTACACTTAGGCACCTCCTGACTGCTGGATTCCATTAGGAGAGAGTAAGTACTAGCTCTCTTCCGACCATGGAATAAGCCCTGTGGCTGCAATGAAAGAATCAGGAGGAAACTCAGGAGTGAAAATGAAGAAAGTGGCACTTCAGCCTGAATGTTCTAGAAACACCCTAAAGGAAGGAAAGGAAAACTAGGAAAGCCCTCAGGCTAGTTGGGCTGGTGGAGTAGCTCAAATGATTGAGTGCCTGCCTAGCAAGTATGAGACCCTGAGTTCAACTCCAGTACCAAAAAAAAAACTGGAAGATGGACATATTTTGTCAGACTACAACATTCAAAAGGAGTCTACCCTTCATCCAGTGTTGAGACTTCATAGTGGTGCTAAGAAAAGGAAGAAGTCTTACACTACTTCTAAGAAGAATAAGCATGAGAGAAAGAAGGTTAAGTTGACTGTCCTGAAATACTGTAAGGTGGATGAAAATGGCACTCACTTCATCGTGAGTGCCCTTCAGATGAATGTGGTGCTGGAGTATTTATGGCTAGCCACTTTGAAAGACATTATTTGTTTTGTTTTTTTGTAGTACTGGGGTTTGAACTCAGGGCTTTATGTTTGTTAGGCGGGCATTCTACCACTTGAGCCAGTGCTCCAGCCCTGATAGACATGACTGTGTTGTCTGACTGCTTCTTCAACAAATCAGAAGACAAATAATTATGTATGGACTAATAAAAGACATGAAGTTTAAAAAAAAAAACCAGAATAGGGCTGGGATGGAGCTCGGTGGTAGAGAACTTACCTAACATGCATGAGGCCCTGATTCACTCTGCAAAACGTGTGCACATGTGTGTGTATATTCCCTTCTTAGAAGTCAACAACCTGATGAGAAGTAAATACTTCTTTCTCTCTGGATTTCCTAATAACCCAGATGGAAATTAAAACTCCATTTAGAGTTAGGAGTGTAGCTTGTTTGTGCTAGGGCATTTGCCTATCATGTGTGAGGCCCTGAGTATTATCCCCAGCACGGCGAAAAAGAAAATATTGCTCAGATCTTGCTTCTTTATTAATGTTTCATTGACCAAAATATTCATTACTCCTTCCTCCACAAACTGCAGTGGTACTTCACAGATGCCTTTCATCACAGTGCTTACCTTGTATGTGTTTGCATGTCATTTATCCTTTCTGAACTCCTTGGAGGCAAGGACCATACTGTAACACCCTTTGTGCCCCTGGTACTAAACACAAGAGAGTGTTTAATGGAAGTAGAAATAAATAATTATCCAGATACTTCCAGTTCATGCAAACCTTTGTAAACTTAGAAGCTGAGTCTTGAGTGTGACGTGTGGTTCCTTGACTTGTAAAGAGGTGGAGGTTAATCTTTGTGGCCACACCTATAAGAACTAAGGGAATTAGAAGGACCGTCCTTTAACTGCCTGACATTACTCCATGCAAAGCCCAGTGGAGGTCTATAAAAACAGGATAAAAGAAACACAGTACCCAGTCCATGCCCGACATGTGGCCATTAGCCTAGGATAGGGGGAGGGCAGTATTGGGGGTTGAACTCAGACTTGCTAGGCAGATGGGATACCACTTGAGCCACACTGCCAGCCCTAAAAGGATTTTATAACATTACAATGATGTACTTAATATTACAATTACTGGTTGTTTCATTTGAACTTCCAAACATCTTCATTTTATTTCATTGTAAGGTTCCAATGGGTGGAGAAGAACGAATGGCAGAATTTCCTCCTCTTGTTGCTGAAGACATTACATTGAAAGAAGGACTTGGGGGCTCTGAAGCAGTAGCTGACATCAAGTTTTCCTCTGCAGGTAATTTTATTTTTAGTTTTGAAGACAGGGTCTTGCTACATAGCCCTGGCCACCTTCTGCCTCAGCCTCCGTAGTGCTGGGATTATAGAGGTATGCCACCACACCCAGCATTTTGGGGCGGGGGAGTGGAGTGGTACTGGGATTTGAAGTCAGGGCCTCACACTTGAACCATACTCCCAGCCCTTTTTGCTTTATTTTTCAGGTAGGGGCTTGCTTTTTGCCCAGGGCCAGCCTCAGACCAGATCTTCTACCTCTGCCTCCTGCATAAGTGGGACTACAGACATGAACCACCAAGTGTGGCTCATTTTTCAGATAGGGTCTCAGTAACTTTTGCTTAGGCATATCTTGAACCTCGATCCTCCCATCTCCTCCTCCGATTCCTCGGAGGAATGAGCTACCTCGCCTATCCCTGCTTTGTCTTTTTTTTTTTGGGAGGATGCAGCAGTACTGGAGTTAAAACAACAGTACTTGCTTTACCATTTGAGCCATGCTACCAGCCCCTGGCTTCACTTTTTATTCGCTTTTTAAAAACTAAAATTAGCAGCCAAGCATAGTGATACACACCTGTAATCCTAGCACTACGGAAGCTGAGGTGGGAGGTTCTTGAGTTCAAGGTGAATCTGGTCTACATAAATGAGACCCTACCTCAAAAAACTCAAGAGAAAAAAGGTAAAGTAGCCTTACTGACAAGTATATTTTTTTATAGAAATGTGCTTCATTTTAGTTTATTCATAAAATGCAACCTATTCCGAAAATAACTCTGCTTTTCACAAATGCATTGTATTTAAGAAAAATAGAAAGAATGCAATATCCTTCTTTGTTGCTCAGTTTTGAGCTGCGTTTGGTGTTCTTAATAAGATGACAGCTAACAGCATTCTATGTTTTGTCGGATGCTTCACAGGTTGGGTTGCAGTAACACCTTATTTTAAGGACAGACTTCATCTCCGAGGCTATACCCCTCAAGGAACAGTTCTGACAGTCCGACCCCCGCTGTTGCCATATATCGTTAATATCAAAGGACAGCGCATCAAGAGAAGTGTGGCCTATAAAACCAAGAAGCCTCCTTCCCTCGTGTACAATCTACAGAAGAAAAGCTGATAAATGTTTGACATGGACCTGATTCACAGTGGATGTTATCCATGTTGAACATGGCAATATATGTTGAAATTGAAGTATTAAATATAGCCATCTGTTAACTACAATGAGCATAACAATATATGTTGAAATTGTATTAAATATAACCACAATAGAGTCCGCCCCTGCTCCCACTCTTTTTAAAAATCTTAACATTTGACTTTTAAAACTATTCAACAGTGCTGGTGGCTCATGCCTGTACTCCCAGCTACTTGGGAAGCGAGATTGGGGATCATGGTTTATTGAGTAAGGCCAGCCCAGGTAAGTAGTTTGAGAGACCCCTCTCTCCAAAATAACCAGAGCAAAATGGACTGGAGATGTGACTCAAGCAGTAGAGCACTTGCTTTGTAAGTGCCCTGACTGCAACCCCTAGTCCTACCAAAAAAAAAACCCAAAAACTATGCAGGTCTGTGCCTATTGGTAATGTATTAGAACTTGTAAATACAGATGATTTTATGTAGAGTCATCTGTATATCCGTGACCCAGATGCTCATAAACATGAGACCTACTGCATTTGAATTTTTATTGAGACTAGCTATCGTTTCTCTTATTTGGAGTCTATAGTTGACAGGGCAGTTTAGTAGTCAGCATATGAAAAAATAAGGAGTAGGCACCCAAAGATCCAGCAGGGGAAACATGCCATATGGCTTCCATCTCTACCTCTAAGGGCTGCTCAAGCTGTCATCCTTTCCCACCAAATGTAAAGAGGACAATGTGGAGGGTAGGCAGCTTTCTTGTTTAAAAGAAGTGGGGACATGGGGTGTTACATGCAGTCCATCTGTCAGCAGTCACAGGGCCACACCTCAAAAGGAAACTGGGAGATGTAGGGGGAAATGGGACACATTTGGAGGCTTTCTCTCAAGGGGGCGGGGGGAAGAGGTGGCCCAAACAATCAATGTATACACATGAATAAATATAAAAACAATAAAAAATTTAAAAAGGCAGAAGGGGAGAATGGATACAGAGAACAAGTAGAAGTGTACCTAAGACAATTTTAAGGTGCTTGAAAACCTTAAAGGATTTAGGCTCTGCCTAGCATTTGAGATCTGATCTGCACCCAGAGAGCACTTTAACCATTTATCATTTGCTATACATAACCAACATTACATCAGTCAGAATTCCTTTTGTTATTCCTATGCGAGTACTACTACAGCTGTGTACAGTAAACGTGCCAGATCCTAATGCTGAGATAAATGCTAGTGGGATAAGCTGGGCAGAAATGACCTAGAGAGCCCGTGTTATCACCCAGCATGTGGGAGCCCCTGTGTATTCATGCTCCTGTCTTTTTCCCCATCCAGTAGTCCCCTTTTCACCAAGTCCTCTTAGACTATAATGGAGAACTTAAGGTGTAAACATGTAACTCTGTATATCTCACTTTCATAAGTTTTGCTGGAGGGGAAAAGGGTGAAACAAAGTCTCCCTATGTAGCCTAGGCTGGCCTCAAACTCTGCAACCTCCTGCCACTGCCTCCTGCTGGGAGTATACACGATATCAGCACACCTCGCTTTCATAGTAGTTAGAAGTTAATTTTATGGGTATCTTGAGGAAGGCGGTTCTTCACATACAAAACTGCATTTCAGTATGTCTGGTACCCCTTGTCCCCAGAGACTGCAACACCTCCGCCTCTCCCATCAGTCAGATAACCGAAAACTACCCCAACATTTCCAGATGCACCTGTAGAGGGCAGTAGCTTCCCAGGTTGAGAAAATTGATTGGATGTTATTTCTAGTTATTTTGTAGAGAATGAAATACCATTCATTTTTTGCAAGCTCTAAAACATTGTTATTTTTGACACAATTGCATATATTTATAGGGTACAATGTGATATTTTGAAATGTACATTGTAAAATGAGCAAATCAAAGCAATCAGCATATCTATCACTTTCAGTAATTTCTTTATGGTGAGAACTTTTAAAACCCTTTTAGCCAGGCACCAGTGGCTCACGCCTGTAACTACTTAGGAGGCAGAGATCAGGAGGATCATGGTTCGAAGCTGGGCTGGGCAAGTAGTTTGCAAGACCCTATCTCAAAAAAACTTCACAAAAAAAGGACTGGTGGGTGGCTGAAAGTGTAGGCCCTGGGTTCAAACTCCAGTACCACAAAAAAAAAAGTATACATCTTGTTAACTAGTCACCTTGCTGTGCTCTGCCAGAACACCAAACTTTGTACATCAACTATCTCCCTTTTCCTTAGCATCTCTCTCCACCAGCCCTAACCACCATTCTACTTGCAACTTCTGTGAGTTTTTACTTTTTTAGATTCCACATATAAGTGCTCAGTCTGAGCTACATAGTGAGACCCTGTCTCAAAAACCAAACAAGAAAAAAGACATTAGTAACCTTTCCATCACTATGACAAAATACTTGAGAAAATCAGCTCCAAGGAAGAAAGGGTTTTTTGGCTCCTTTCAAAGGATTCAGTCCAAGGTCAACTAGTTCTGTATTTGGGACCTATGGCAAAGCAAAACATCATGGGTGGGAGGGCAAAGCTGCTCACCTCATGGTGGCCAGGAAGCAAAATGGAAGAGCCAGGGTCCCAATATCCCATGAAAGGGTACAACCACAATTACCTAATTTCATTCCACTAGCCCCCATCTCAAGTTTCCACCACTTCCCAACAGTGCTATCAACTTGCAACAAAACCTTCAACACACTGCCTTTGGGGGACATACAGACCAGTTTAGCAGAGGAAGAGACTTCAAAAATAAATCCATGCATATACAGTCAGCCAAAATGTTGACCAGTGGGCTCAGGGAAGAGGTGAGGGTGTGAGATACAGGGCCAGCCAACTTTTTGCTGCAGCTGCTGTCCTCACTGAATACTCAGCCAGGTTGCTTAGAAAGGAAGGGCTGGGTGTCCGGATTATAGAATCAGCCACCTTCCCATTACTCGGGACACCTGGGGCAAGGGTTACCTGGCTCTTCCTGGTGCTGCAACCCTGGAAATACTATTCATTTTACAAGTTGAAATCGTAGTCATTGTACTTCTTTCTATATGGAGTTCACCTGTTAAAAGTATGGAGAACTTGTCATTTGTGAAGGAATAGAGTCTAAAAGCAGTCATCACTCTGACAACTTGTGAGCTGGATTTTAGAAAGCAGAACATCCCTTCTGCATCTTCTCTCTAGACTTTTAGGCCTCTCCATATTCAGTTTTTAAATGTTTTTTTCCCTCTAAAATTCAATGGTTTTGTTTTGGGCATATCCAAAGCTATTCCACAGAAACTTGTTTGAGGTTTCAAACAGTACAATTACTAAATTTCCTTAATTATATTAATTCCTCTGGATCTTCCATTTCCTCACCTATAAAATGAGTTACAACTAGATTTTTCTGAAGGGTTCTTAGTCCTGATCTTTTATAAATCTGTAAAAATAGGCTGAAAAGAAAGCTAGCAATGAGTGTTTACAGGCTGGGCACTGGTGCTCACACCTATAATCTAGCTACTTGGGAGGCTGAGATCGGGAGGATCAAGGTTCTGTTACTATTAGTTCCTGAGCTTTCATCAGTTTATGAATCATTCTTAAACCATACATCTGAGTATGAAGATTTCTCTCTAATCAGCAATCATTTAACTATGCAGGATTTAGTGGGCCCCTGTGGCCAGGTAAGGAGGAAAAATTAGCAAAGTGTCAGGACAAGCCCTTCACTTCCACTAAGAGGTGGTTTTGAGGGGCTAGAAAACAACTGAGTTTATACCTGGTTTTGTACCTGGTCCTGAAGCCTTCTGTTAAGGAATGTTAATGCTTTTGTATTGATGACACCTAGGAAAAGTAAAATACATACCACCAAAAAGGCTTTTTGACTCCTATATAACATTACCAGTTTCATTTTGAAAAGTTAGACCTAATTTCTCTGCTTTTCCCTCCTGCAATAAAACTAAAATAATAGCATCTTCAAAGTTACTGAGACAAACTGAAGTTGTAACACATTTTATATTCTTACTCACCCTGGACAAAAGCACTACCAGGCACCCATACTTTACTGTGTAGTTCCTGAGTCTAAATTTGTTACTTTTGGTGCTCACTTCCCCTGACAACCAAGGAGAAGTGGAACACAGAAGCAGTCTGTGTGCCTGTTTCCTGATCAACACTTCTCACAAAATGGAGATGGAGGCTGGTTTCCTGCAGATGACTAACTTGGGCCTGAGCTGTTACAGCTCACTGAGTAGGCACCCAGTGCTCAAGCCGAGACGAGCTGCTTCGTGGACAGCCTCTGATTATTTACCCTGGCTCCCCTCCCACTTGGCTCTGCATTGTGGAGCAATAGAATCATTTCCATTCTTTCTTGGACTGTTCCATTTTCTCTTGGCTGCTTTCCTCCTCCCAGGAGGATTGTTTTCTCTCAACTGTCAAAGCATTAATGCTTAAACATTAAAAACACCATGTAAGACTGCTGTGGGACTGGGCAGGTGGCTCAGTGGTAGAGCACTTGCGTAGCATGTGCAAGGCCCTGGGTTCGATCCCCAGCACCACAAACGAGAAAAGACTGCTGTGAACCATATAGATAGCACCCCTGCCTCCTCTGTATGTCTCTCCCTCATCCTGCCTATCCCACTCAATGCCCTGGAGTGGAGGCGATTGTCCAAGGGGATGTTTTAACATTGTATTGAGATGTGCCTCACCTTTTTCCTTCATGTTAGTACTATTATTTGTGGTCAGCCTGAGCAACATGGTGACACTCTGTCTTTAAAAAAATCATCATTATTCCCCTTAGTAAAAGATTTTCATGATCTGAATACTCTTAAATATACCCAGATCATCCTCAAAACACAGTTTTGAACTCCTCAGTTCCTGTTTTTCAAAAGCTTCCTTTTACTTCCCAAATAATTCTTGGAACTTACCTTCTAGGTAGTCAGCCTAGTGGAAGAATTTATTGGACTTTATGCAACTATGAGTCTAACACTTAATCACAGACACTGGCCAGTAGCTGTGGTGAAGCTGAGAAAACTGAGACCATGAGAAGCAGCTGGGTGTGCAAGAGAACACACCATCACATGTCAGAGGATTTTGGAAGTGAAAAACTGCCAAGATCCTTCATCCTTTCAGTAAGCCTTGGAAAATAGCTGGCATTCAATGCATGAATGAATGAATTAGTACAGTGAGGGGATGTTTGTTTGATTGGTTAGTTGGTTTTTGTCTTCCTGGGAAACAGCCAAAGACTTAAATTTGCTTAGTAATAGTCACACTAACCTCTTCTAGAATTTCTTCTTTTCCTACATAAAGGCAGCCCCTCATGGGAATAGGATCTCAGGCAACTTACAGTTGCTATAGTTATGAAAGCCCATGTATCT